CGTTTATTTTTTTTTAGAAATGATATTTCCGTAATTTTATTGGATATTCTAAATTATTGTGTAAACAATATAAAGTTTAATTATATTATTTCGTTTCTACATTCAATTGATGATTTTATTTCCTTTTAAAATTTGGATCCTTACAATTATAATCAATTTTGAGCTCGAATTATAATTTTTACTTGATTTCAAGCTTTTAAATTATGCACTATATAAATTATATATCTTCTCTCAATTTATTTATTTAAAAGATATTTCAAGAAAAAATTAAAATATGATTTTTTTTTTTGAAGTTGTATTAAAAACACGTTGCAAAGAAACAAATGTAATTTGAATAATATTATATCGACAGCAATAATAAATAATATTTATAAAATTCATAATTCATATACCATAGAGTTACATTGGTATATAAATTTTTTTTTTTTTCTAAAAAAGAAAAAGTTTGTGAACACCACAAACTCTTTTATGACGTTCGTCACCTTTACAAAAAAAACAGAAAAAAAAAAAAAAAACACATAACTCCACCATTAAAAATGGATTAGGTGGTTTAATTGTGATTAAGAAGATTCAGCAGCCAGTCGTGCTCTCAGTTCCTTCCTCAGTATCTTCCCTGATGGAGCTTTCGGAATTGACTCCACGAAAAATACACGGCTTACTCTCTTATAAAACACCACCTGCACCACCCACCAAACGTAATTAATTTTTTACTTCTTAATTTATTTTTAATTATAAATTACGATATAATTAAATAGATAATTACCTGTTTAGAAATATACTTCTTGATATCATCTTCGGATAATTGGGAATCTTTAGACTTCACCACAAATGCAACTGGGACTTCTCCTGCTGCATCATCTTTCATCCTGCATCCAAACATTGATTTAAATTCATCTTCCATGCTTTATATATTATTATATACATATAGTGAGAATTGCGACATACCCAACAACAGCAGCATCTGAAATATCAGAATGAGCAATCAGCATTGCTTCTAATTCAGCAGGAGCAACTTGAAAGCCTTTGTATTTGATCAACTCTTTTAGTCGATCTACGATGAACAACTCCTCGTCGTCGTCGATATATCCGATGTCTCCTGTGTGCAACCATCCTTCTTTGTCTATGGTTCTTGCAGTTGCTTCTGAGTCGTTCAAGTAACCTGTTTTCATACACTCTCTTATTAGAATGTAAACAAAAACTATATAGTAAATATTATATTCAGTCACGCAATATGCACGTTAGTGAGAAGACCATGACAACATCAAATTATGATGATAAGAACAAAATATCCCTCTTACTATTTTTAAATTATAACTCAAAATTATATAATATTAAAAAAATTAAATATCATATATAGAGAAATTATTATATATTTCCGTATTTGGTCATTATATTTTTACATACCCAGATGGAATTAACTCTAATATTATATTAAATTCTAAACTAAAGCTATATAATATAAAAAGAATTGTCAAAGAAATATATAAATTACTATAAATCATGCATAATTAGATTTCTTAACAAGTGTATTAGTTCTTATAAATATTATATTTAGTTACATAACATGCACATAAAGGGAAAAAGTGTTAGAATATAATTAATTCTGATACTGTCTTAAATTCTAACCAAAAAATTACTCATCATGTGTACGAATTATTATAGTAATGCGGGAGCTACACATGAAAGCTAGTGTGAAGATAGAGGCATGAGTTAAGTTAGGACAAAATTGACTTTAACATCGTTTTAAAATTTAAACCCAATATTAGAGAAATTACTCATTAAATATATAACCTACCATATATGTATATGTATATATATATATATGTTAGGAAATAGTATAAATATGAAATTACATTCCTTAACCTCCCAAACCCACATTAATTTGTATTTAATAATTGCAATTGAATCATGATTTGAGTTACCCTTCATGATCTGATCTCCCCTGATGCAAATCTCTCCGGCTTGATTCCGGGGTAGGGAAGAACCGGTTTCTGGGTCAACGATCTTCATCTCTGCATTTCTCACAACAGTTCCACAAGCTCCTGATTTTACTTCAAAAGGTTCTTTCGCAAATCCTAACCCCATCGCCAGCACTGGCCCTGCTTCCGTCATCCCATACCCCTGTTTTTTTTTTAAAAAAAAAAAGATATATGAATATATATATATATATTTTTTTAAATAGGGAATTAAATGAATATAAATAGAAATAGACGGTGGTAGGTTTAGATGGAGATGGAGATGGAGATGGTAGGTACCTGACCAAGTCTGGCGTTAGGAAACTTAGCTCTTACAGCATCTTCAAGCTCCTTCCCCAACGGTGCCGCACCGGACTTCATCAACCTAACGGACGTCAAATCATACTTCTCTGTTTCCGGCGACTTTGCAATTGCCAAAACTATGGGTGGCACCGCCGGCATGACCGTCACTCTGTATTTCTCAATCAACCCCAACAACGTTCCGATCTCGAACTTGGGCATTATCAGAATCGAAGCCCCGACCCGTAACCCGCACAGCATAATTGAATTCAATGCGTAAATATGAAACATGGGCAAAACGCAGAGTATCACATCTTCGCTGTTGTAATACAGATTTGGATTGTCTCCGTCTACCTGCTGAGCCACACTCGTCACCAACCCTTTGTGGGTTAACATCACGCCCTTTGGTAACCCAGTTGTTCCAGACGAGTAAGGCAGTGCTACGACGTCGTCTGGTTTGATCTCCACGTCGGGCAACTCGTTCTCGTCGGCTTGAGCTAGCTCGGAGAAAGATAGACACCCGTCTGGAGCTGAGTCGATGCACATGATTTTAACATCATTCGCTTCAAATTCCTTAACTTTATCGACGTAACAAGCCTGGGTGATTACCAGCTTGGCGCCGGAGGCTTTGACTTGTTTTCCAATCTCGGCCGGCGTGAAGAAAGGGTTGGCGGCGGTGGCGACGGCGCCGCGATAGGAAGCGCCTAAGAAAGAAAGCACGAACTCCGGCGAGTTTGGGAGCAAGAGCATGATGACCTCACCCTGTTGAATTCCGAGCTTGTTGAGACCCGAAGCAATTTTACGCGATATGAGCTCGACTTCAGCGTACGTGAGGATATCTCCGGTGGGTCCATTGATGAGACAAGGCCTGGAGGCTACGTCGGAAATGTTTTGGAAGCAATAGTGATGCAGAGGGAGATGGTTGGGGATATAAATATCGGGGAGCCTTGAACGGAAAATGGTTTCTCCGGCGGACTGATCGGGGTAGAAGTAACGGGGGATTGGGGTTG